TAATATTTATTTAAAATATATATAATAGTAAAAATCTTCACCATTTAATTCCTCTTAAGCAGGAAGCACAATAAAAATTTAACACATTCCGCACATCATTATAATAACTATATGTATAAAAATTTACATCACACATTTTTACTTTTAATATTATATCAATAGATAAGCACATTATCTTTATACATAATATACACAAGTAAATATTTCTTAAAATTTATGCTACATATTTTTTAAATAAGGAATACAACAGAATAAAAACAAAATATTACCTAATATAATATAAATTTATTGTAAGGTTATTAAGTATAATCCATAGTTATTCAAAAATATGTACATTTGTTATAAATTCGTAAGTTTTCAGTGATTACATTATAAAAAAAAAAATTATATAACTGAAAGGTACAATTTATTCCAACAAGTATATATTTTTACTTAAAAATATTTATATTTCTTCTTTCTGTTCATTAGATTTACGCATAAATTGTGACATGTACTAAATTGGATATAGTCCTTCCAATAGGATTTATTTATTTTTCAAATCATTTTGCAAAAATTGTATTACGGTGTGATAACGCATATTAATTTCGCTGTACTTGAAATTTTCACGCAGTCCATCTCTCCAGGTATGTAATTATGTTGAATATTTTAAAAACTAAAATATATACCATAGAAAAATTAACAGTGATCTCATTGTCATAATTATATTCGTAAATACAGATATACTTTATAAAAAAATATAATACTTCTGAAACATTAAACCTATACTATAATCCACGAACTCTAAACGCTAAACCCTGAAACCTACACAAATAATCAAAGGAATGTCTTAGAATTTTATTTTATATATTAATGCTAAATTAATTCACTAATATAATGTGCTTAGTAAGATTGTTATACTTAAACGTAAGCTACTTTATAGTGCTTATGAATTCTATTTTTATATGTTTCTTCAGATGATCCCATTACATCGTTATAATTTTCACTTTTTTTATTCAACAATTTCCTTAATTTCCTCACACTTCGTCCTATAAATGAAGCATTGCGCGTATACTGATAAAAAGAGAAAAATAATGTAATTTTACAAGTAGGTTACTAATTTTATATAATTATAGAAAAATAATGTGTAGGATGTATCATATTATAACACATATTATCTAAATTAAAAAAAAATATATAACCTTATATAAAAAGAATGACATTATTAACAATACTGAAGACGAAACAACAATTCCTACCCATTTTCCCATTGATAAATTTGAGTGTTTTATTTGGACTCCATGTACCGCCCTCTCTTCACTTCTTATTTTTCCATTCTCAGATACTACATTCAGAAATTTATCAGTCTGAGTTTTTTGAGTCAGAGATGTTTCAGTCTCAGATACTTTAATCAGAGGTAATTCAGTCAGAGATATTGGTTTATCACATGATTTACTTTTCGGAATGCTTTTATTATACCTTGTTATTAAATTATTTAGTAAAGTAGCTATACTACTGTTATTGGATACATAACTTTCTAATTCATTCACATAATTTTTAAATTTTTTATCAGAGTCTGTGCACTCTCTTCCCTTATCTAGCAATGTTAAAGCATAATATAGTTGATCAAAATACTTAAATATTTTTAATGTGCTATCTTCAAATTTTGTAACCTCCTTATCACATATATTAAGGAAACTATTTTCAATTGTAGTGTGATTGGACCAATATTGTTTCAAAATGCTGTATCCTTCCTGTGGGTCTTTAGATTTACATTCATATTTATTTAACATGTCTTGTAACTTGTAATTGAAATATTTACAGGCTAAATTTTTATAATTATCATTAGATTCACTGTTATTTTTTATATGGTATAAATAAAAAACAAGACCCTCACAAATGGTAAGTAAATTAGCATAATTAATTTCTTTATTACATGCATTATTCTCAATAAAACTATTACAGAGATTAAAAAGTTCACTTCTCATTTCTTTTAAATTATTCGAATCAGATATAGTTATATTGAAATCATCTCTACATTGGGGGAATATTTTATCAAAACTAATCTATAAGTTAAAATTGCATGTTTTCAAATATATTAAAATAATATTTTTAACAATATATAAATTTATTAATTTACAAAAACAAATGTATTTAAACAAATACATAGAATAAATTTATCTATATTATTACGAATATAAAATTACATTGTTATAAATAATAGCTTCAGACATTATGTTTTATTTGAATCATTTAACAAATGAATTAGTTATTCTTATCTTATAAAAGAATTTTTTATGTTATCAATGTAAGTGTTGATGTTATTTATACTTGAAATATATTAAATATTATAAGATCCTATGTAATACAATATTTTTTAAGATATATAGTTTTACTATATTTACACGCATATTAAACAATCTATAGATTATTAAAATCTGATTGATGATATTACAATATAAATATAAAATAAGATAAATGGAATTATTTCATTAAGGATTTCATTTAGTGTTAATATTTTAGAGGGATTTATAATATCTAATTAGTTTTAAATGGATTTGAATAAAACGAATTCTATAAATATGAATTTGTTTTATATTCATATACTTCTTAGTTTGTATAATTAAAGAAAAATAACTATTTACATTAATTAATATATAATTATCTAGGATGAATAAATATTGCTTATGTAAATCTGCATTATTTATTATAATTTTTGTATTTATCATAGTTTTAGAATTTATATGATATCTTATGTTTCAGGGTATGGAAAATAGATTTATGGTTTAGAGATTAAGTTAAGGTTTTAGATTAATAGTTCAGGATTAAGGATTTATTATTTCGTTAAATTTATGTATATATATATAATGTAATATACTATATTATTTTATATATGTTGTATGTAATTTTTATTAACTTATATATAGATTTTCTAATGTAATATTGTGTTTTTATTTTAATATTAGGTATTTTGGTATTTATTTATTTGTTATAATGGAATATATATAATTATTACATATTATTATATATAATTATTTATATTTAATTTTTCTTATATATATAAATATTTTTAATATACTACTTTTATAATAATTGAAATTAGTAGAATAATATTCATTATTAATTTACCATATTTTTATAATATTATTTTGTCTAAATTTATACAATTACATGCGTTATTATATTAATTATGTTATTTAAGTATATTATAAATTAACATAAATACTTAATCTTATAAGAGTAGCCAATTCTTTATAGTCATCTAGGTTTAGAGTCAATGGTTTGGGTATAAGATTCAGCTTTTAGGGTTTATCCTTCAGAGTTTATGGTTCAGCAATAAGATTTTATGTTAGTGTTTAGTGTATACTGCTCATGTCTTGTTTTATAAATATATTTTTATTTATAATGTAATATTAGATATATTAAAACTTGTTTCATTACTATAATTTTTAGCGCTTGTTTTATTATAAACTAATTTCATGGTATACTACTGATATATATGAACACATAGTAGCCACCTTATTATTATATATGTATCAATGAAATATAGTAGATTTAATATACCGTTATATATGTTAATTATTTATGCGCTATTATGATTTTAATATTTTGCGTTTGAACTTCTATAGAAATGATATTTCATTGGTGTATATAATAATTTATTTTTCATTATACATAATTTATTCTCATTATCTATTATTTAATTTAATGTAATTTTTATGCTATATTTATAATTGTATAGGCAAAAATATGTTTATTTTATTCAGAATCATAATTATCGTCCAAATTATCATGTATGATCTTTTCATTATCATCCTCTCTAATAGTATCTCTACTTTCAAGTGTTTCATCTAGAAAATCATTGCCTATCTTTTCCTTATTATTCTGGTTAATTACCATTCGAAAGATACCATGACACATAGATAAAACCCAATCACTCTTCCTGCATATAAAACACTTGTCCTTTATCCTTGATTTATAATGATATCAATTTTTATTCTCAGAAATATTTTTATCACGCTTAATGACACGGTCATCCGAGTTCTTTTGTTCTTGGTATAGTTTATGAACCTAATATCCATATATTTTCTCTGTTTTTTTTCTTCTATCACCTAATAATTTCTTTTAAGCAACATTTGAATTATCAATAACAGGTACATTTAATA